GAGTCAAAACTCGATACTCGACTTCTTTAATTAGTTGGTCAATAACACTATGAATTTTTATCTTGCATGAAATTAGATCCCACACTGACACACACAAACAAATGCAATAACTAGGAGTAGACATCATATCACTCACATATCCTGCTGAATCGGCATCTAAATACCCAACAATATTGTTATGACCTCTATCAGTGAAAATAATTTCTTTTCTAGGTACTCTTTTAATGTACTAAAGAATTCTAACAACTGCATTCCAATGGCTACACTACTCCAAAATATATATTTTGTAACATTATCTTATTGCAGTCATTTAGTCCATCATAGTAATAACTCGTTTTTAGGCGCTTTTTTTTTTGTTATTTTCTAAAATACATTTCACCACAGTTAAACCTAACAACTGTAGTGAAAAGTACTCAGAATGACAAGCTTCGAATCCTAACACCTTGAATTTTCCTTTTTTTTGTCATAAAATGGGAGTGTCACTTATAATCTTATATTTATATTAAAATTAAAATATCTTTCACCATGATTTAAAATAAAAACTGTTGTGAAACATACCAAGATTTCATCACGGTCGTTATTATCAACGGTGGTGAAACGTGTTACCTATATATAAGAGAAATTTCTCTCATTTCAGTACATAACAGTCATCTCTCATAAAACAAAATCATAACATCTCTCTTACGCCTTATTCTAATCTCCATTAACTTTTGCACACATTTTTTTATACAAAACTCCAACATATCTTCTCCAACTCTTATAAATCAAGGAAAGGTGTTACTCAACATGCAAGACAAAAACATCAAACTCATTTCTTTGACTTCCTTTTCATATTTCAGGTATGTGAGAGGCCTGTAGTCATTTTTTGTATAAATTATTTATTGTTGTTTGTGTTATTATAAATGTTATTGTTTAGATATATTGATGTTTTTGTTTAACTCGTGCATATTGTTGTTTGATATATCTTGTTATTATGTTTAACTCATAAATCATTTATTGTCGTTTGTGTTATTTTAAATGTAATGTTTAGGTATATTGATGTTTTTGTTTAGCTCATATATGTTGTTTTTGTATCTTGTTATTTTGTTTAGCTCATAAATTGTTTGTTGTTGTTCACGTATCTTGTTGTTTTTGTTTATTTTATATCTTTATGTTGAAGTATGTTGATCTTTTTGTTGAGGTATCTTGTTTTTTTCGTTAAGGTAAGTTTTAGTTTTTGTTGATAAAGGTAAATCTTTTGTGTTATTGTTGATGTTTTTGTTGAGGTATATTTTAAATATTTGTGTTATTGTTGATGTTTTTGTTGATGTGTGTTATAAATGTTTGTGTTATTGTTGATGTTTTTATTGAGGTATGTTGTAAATGTTATAACTTGTACATTGTAGTTTTCATTACATGCGACCAACATGTCATTGAAGATGATTTTATTATATCGTATGTGGTTTGACTGTTTTTCCAACCCTTTACTGAATATATAACCTTTCGAATTGAATTAGAAAATTATAATATGAGATATTAAGTTATATTACAAAACAACTTACACTTATCAATATTTTACGAGCTTTTTGCAGCCTATTCGTATTTTGCTCTTTAATGGTTAAAACTTGATTCCGTATTTCTAGTTCTTCAGCTATCACTTCCTTCACCTCTAATTTAGTCTGCAAAGTAAATAATACTTTGTAAAATGATCCAGAGGTGAAGAAAGTGTTAGTAGAAGAATTAGAAGTGTTGAAACAAGTTTAAACCATTAAAGAGAATATGTGGATAATAGGCTGTATAAAGCTTGTGCAACATTGATTAGTATAACTTTTTCTTCAAATATAACTTAATTCATCATATTATCGATTCCTAAATCAGAATAGAGTTCATATGTTTAGTGAGCATTTAGGGGTGAAATGTATTGAAGTTTGCAAAAATCCAGGCATTGGGTATCAAACCCCTAACCTCAACCTTTTGCTACGGTTGTTTTATACAACCATATTGGTATGTTACGTGTTTTTATGTTTTTACCACAGCCAGTAGCCCGTGGTGGTAAAAAGGGCACCTACAACGACACTCTTCTTTACTACGGGTCACCATCTGTGGTGGAATCCTTCTCCCAATCATGATAAAATGTATTATTTGTAGTAGTGATATCACAATAAGAATTTAAAAACTAACTTCTGACGCTAATTGAAAAAGCTATGTTTAGTATGGTTAGGATGAGATAAACCCATTTTTCCACTAGTGTTCAGTATCTTCTTGGATTAGAATAGGACTCCTCATAGTCAGAAATGAGCTTTACATTAGAATCCATAAAAGTGTCGTCTGGTTTACCATTTATAAGATGTGTCTCCTCCAAAATATATCAAGCATACTTCCTCTTAATGATATCAATATCTGACTTTGATTGAGCAAACTTAATCCCAAGAAAGTAACGTAGAAGATCAAAGTCCTTGGTCTGAAAATTTTGAAGTAAGTCTTGTTTTTAATTCTTTGATACTTTCATAATCATTACATGTAATTACAATGTCATCAACATAAACCACAATATAAATATATTTATTTGATGAGCATTTAAGAAAGACAAAATGATCTGTTTCACAATGGGTCATCCAAAACAAATGTAAAACTTTGTTGAATCGACCAAAGCATGCTTAGGGTGATTGTTTTAGACCATATAATTTTTTTTTCCATTTGCATACTAATTACGGCTCCCCTAAGAAACAAACTCAAGAGGTTACCCAAAACCAAAGCATTCTTGATATTCAACTAAAATAAGAATTATTCAATAGCTTTAAAATACTTGCAACGGGTGAGAATGCATCATTGTAATTTTGACCATCGACCTAATTATAACATTTTGTCACTAATCGAACCTTTATAGACATTTGGAAAGTCGTGCAAACAATTTATCACAGTCAATTGAGAGATTATAAATAAAACAATTAGATTCAAATATACGAAGAGGGACAAAAATAAGAAAATTCAGTCGAAACATTTAAATCAACTAAAATTTTAAATTTCTTAAAAATTTTGAGTTCCTTGTGTTTTTGTTATTATTAAAAAAAATTGTTGAATAATTAATACATCTAATCTTATATATTAAATATATTATTTATTTAATAAATTTGAAAAAGTGTTTTTTTAAAATATCGGAAAAGTATTTTTAAAAAAAGGCATCCATAAAAAACTAATGAAAAATTTAAATAATATTTTGAATAATCTCATGTTGCATCAAGACAAACTTTTAAAATTGCGGTACTAAATTAGTTGAAGTTCTTTAACTAAAGTATTACATCTACGATGTATTAAATATATATATTATCCCTTAAAAAAGGGACTTATTTATGTATTCAGTCCATTGAATACATATATATATTTTTTAAAACTTATTATTTTAGTTTATTAAAGAATGTTCAACTTTCTTATTTAATCTCTTAATCAGTGCCTCAGGAGTACCCGTTAGCGTTTAAAAAAAAAACCTAATTATAAGTTACTTTAAAATTTCAATGCAGCATTAGTAATATTTTTATTAATATATCATCTATCATTTATTACTATTTCTTTATCCAAAATTTTTTTTAAAAACTCTTTCATGTATATTTAATAAATGACAACGTTATAAAGTTATATATAATTTCTCTTTTTCATATAATATTAATTATAATTTTTAATTAACGTGAAATGACAAAAAGGTCTTATAATTTCAAATTGAGTGAGAAATATTGTTTCCTCTCGTTAATTTTTATATTTTCTTAATATATGTTAAATGATCAAATAGATCATTCATTTTAAGATGAGAGTATTTCCTAGATTTATAAGACACTTACAATTTTAAAGACCAAATGATTATTTAAATAATACTTAACAACTAAAGTCATTGAACACTCTATAAAGGAATAATAGAAGGGATACAAATTACAAACTTGTGTCAAAGCATTCTTAGAGCATAAATATCGAACGGTTTGTATCGTTCCTTCACAGCATTTTAAGTGTCGGTGTCAGAAACTTTTGGATATTTTACAATTATAAACGTTCTCATATGTAGCACGCTTTCGTATTAACTCACGCTTCTTATCATTTATTGTATACATTTCCATTTATTTTTTATTTAAAAAAACAGCAACGGTAATATAAGTAAATGGTAACAAATTTTAATATTAATATAGTAATAAATTTAAAATTCAACGGTAATAATTTTCAATTTCAAATGTTAAAATTTAATTATTATTAGTATAAATAAATTACTCATTTCATACAATATTTCACTCATATCTAGTCTGAATTTGACCAATTTATTTTATCTCATTTTAGTTTTTGTCTACATATTTTTTTTCACAATGAATCCCAATCAAAATAACACTTGGTCCAATTTTATGCAAAATGATGGAAGTCCTCCTAGTATTCCAAATCAACAAAACAACTCATATTTTGAAAATGCACCTCTTATCCCAAATCCAACCATAATCCAAATTTTCAAAACTCTTTTTTTTATCCGAAATCCACAAAATGACCCTCACTTTAGAAATTACTTGTATCATACACCACCTTACCCATATCAATATCAACAATTTCAATCCTAATCAATTAACCCCAATATGCCTCATGTGGTTCAAATAGGTAGTAGTGATGTGCAATCTAATGATCAAGAACATGAAACACCACAATTTTACACTCAAGTTAGTATAGAAAATACTAACCTTGTTGAAGAAGTTGCATCTGCACCGGTTGTGAATACGTCTAAACAAAGGTTCCAACAAAAAGAGGATGAAATTCTTATTCAGTCATGACTCAACGTTTCAAAGGATTCCATTGTTGAGGTTGATAAAAAAGGAGATAGTTTTTGGAAGAGAATTGGTGAAGCTTTTAACAAGCATCATGACATCAATTACAAAGAGAGGAAACCGATAACACTAAAAGGGAGATGACATAAAATAAATCCATCTGTTCAAAAGTTTGTTGGATGCTACAAACAAGTTGTATCTACACAGAAAAGCGGGAGCTCTGAGAACAATATCATGCAAGCTGCGTATAAAATTTATTTCCAAGATGAAGGTGAAAAGTTTACATTTGAGGCTGCATGGAGATTATTGAAAGATGAACCTAAATGGCTCGCAGGTTCATCAGAAGCTTCTGCAAAAAGAACAAAGAATTCAACTTTAGGAGCATATTCCTCATCTTCTAATCCACTAACACCAACGAGCAACGAATATAATTCACCATCACCTATTATGTTACGTCGTCCAATTGGTCAAAAGGCAGCAAAAAAAGGAGAAAGAAAAGCTTGTGGAAATGTCTTCTACTCCCAATGTTAAATATGATTCTTCGAAAGATGACTTCAAAAAATTTTTTGATTTGATGTCAATGTTTGCACGAGACTATACACGTATTGAGGGTGAAAAAGTCGAGATAGAGAGAAAAAAAGTTGATGCAAAGATTAAGAAGACTGAGAGTGAAGAGGAAGGATTGAAGATGAATGATATGCAGACACTCTCAAAAGATACATCAAATATGGATACAAGACAACTAAAAACACATGAAATGTTGTGTGACATGATTAGAGAAAAATATGGATTTAATTAGTATATTATGTATTTTGGATTTAATTGATATGAACTTAATTAGTATGATTATGTATTTTGGATTTAATTGATATAAACTTAATTAGTTTTGATTCAAACTAGCCGTTATTCAAACTAGTCTTATAAATTGTATTAACATGCACACTAAGTTTCATAGTACTTCTTTTCATTGTTTATCTCTTTCATTCTCTACAATTTATTATCATCTTCTACTCAACATCAAACTTTTTTTTACATGGATCCTTCCAATCTTTTTCACATTGCAAAAATGTTCATGGATTATATGAATGATGATATGGATGAAGAACTTGTGAGCCTGTTTATGAAAGAAGAAGCATCAAGCTCTAAAAGGCTTATACGTCAAAGAAGAAATATATAGAGGAATAGTGAAGAGGGACATGATCGATTGTTCAATGATTATTTTTTTGAAACTCCGGTATACACGAATGAACAATTTCGTCGAAGGTACTGAATGCAGAAACATGTGTTCCTTCGTATCGTTGAAGCTCTAGGTCAACGCGGTGAGTATTTTCAAATGATGGTTGATGCAACTGGTAAGTCAAGTCTTTCACCATTACAGAAATGCACTGCTTTTATCTGCATGTTGGCATATGGAACATCTGCTGATAGCATGGATGACTATTTGAGAATTGGTGAAACCACAACACTAAAATGTGTTGATAAATTTACCAAAGGAGTGATCAACATCTTTGGGAAACAATATTTACGAAGGCCAAACGCTGAAGACATTGAACGCTTAATGCAAATGGGGGAGGCACAAGGATTTCCAGGTATGTTATGAAGCAATGATTGTATGCATTGAGAATGGAAAAAATTTCCAGTTGCATTGAAAGGGCAGTATGTTTCAAGCGATCATGGGAAACCAATTGTTATGCTTGAAGCAGTGGCTTCACAAGACTTATGAATTTGGCATGCATTATTTGGGGTAGCGGGTGTCGCACCTCGAAAAATCACGGAGACATTTCGAACATACGACCCTCGCGCGAAAGGCGCGAAAATGCGGTTCGACAGAGTCGCCACCGAACTTTATTTTTCCCGAATAAACGGGAGAGGAAAATATCGAGAAAACCTCTTAAAAACGAAAGGATAGGAACAGGGCTGTCGCAACCAAGTTCCGGGTTCGGGAGTCGGTTACGTGAGGGGAAGGTATTAGCACCCCTCACGTCCGTCGTACTCGACGGGAACCTCTTAAGGTAATTGTGGGGAGTGTTGTCTAGGTTTACTTGTTTCTTCTCGTTGTTAAAGGTAGAATTGATAGGGTAAAAGGTTAGAGACGCAAAGGAGAGATGGGTGGATGGAGGATAGGGTGCTCGCCAAGGATTGGGGCCCTTGTGCCTACGTATGCTCATTCGGACGAGAATGAGAAATCAGAGCGTCGTAGTTCGACTACGGGAAGAGGATAGGGGAAAACGGAAGATGGATAGAAGTGTGCTCGCCAAGATCGTCGCAATCTTGTGCCTACGTATCTTATATTCAAGAATGAATAAAGAATCAGAGCGTCCGTAGTTCGTGGTGACGACCACGAAAAGGTGAGGTTGAAAAAAGTTGGGAGTTTGAGAAAAGAGACGAAAGAGTGACTAACAAGCAACCCAAGAGCACGCCTCAAGAGCTTGTCACTCAAGAATTCAAGGAATGCGAGACTCCAAAAACTCAATTCTTTCGGGAATTGACTGAATAAATTAAAGATAAAGAGTTGGATGTTTTGAAATCGAAAGAACGAACTAATAACAACTCAAGGGCACGCCTCGAGAGTTACTCATTCGAATATTCAAAGAATGCTTGATTCTGAGAATATCCCTCTTTCGTAAGTTTTAAAAAAAATGTTTGTGAAAGGATCGGATCGAAGAATGGCATGCGAGGCCAAAAGGAAGTTGTTTTGAAGTAGCTCGACGACGTGTCGAGGATTTGATCGAAGATTGAACCGACTTGACGACGTGTCAAGGGTTAGGATTGTGAGAAACGGTATTAGTCCCTGAGGGTGCTCCTAATATCGAGACCACGAGGAATTGTGAATGTGTGTGCGAAGTGTCAAAGGTTGCGAATGCGTGCGAGCACTCGTCTTAGGAGGATGTTTGAAAATGTTTGAGTTTGAAAGAGTCGAAAGGTTGAGTGAACAACAACTCAAAGGGCGTGCCTCGAGAGTTATTCACTCGAAAACTCAAGGAATGCTAGATTCCAAGAATCTCCTTCTTTCGGAGTTTTAATCGAGAAAAAGTTGAAGAATTGAATCGAGGGTATGGCGTCGTATGAGAGGTAAGAACGCGAAATTGAATTTGAAAATGACAATTATTTGATAAATGAGACGTGGGCCTCACAACCAATTAATTGGGGTATTATCGAAATGCTAGATCTCAACGACACCTTTTTCATTTGGAGAATGTTTGAATGAACGGCAGAAATATCACACGGAATGCTAGATTCCTATGACATTTCTTTGTCCAAAAGAGAATGCTAAAACGAAAAGTCGAACGACACATTATTTTAAGTTGTACACCTCAATAATGATTGTCCAAAAATCCAAGAAGTGCTTGACTTCAAAGATTTAATTTGTTTTGAAAAAGTACTCGAGGTGAGTCGAGGTTTGAATTTGAATTTTAAGCGTGTGCACTAGCAAAGTGGGCTAGTCTTCTAAGTGACCAATTAGAAGTAATTGATCAAATAGGTGTCACTGTAAGAAAGCCCAGGATTAAGCTTTAAAATGTTGTGTATGGTGATCAAAGATTGATGGCGAGGCTTTGAAAGCACTCGACTTACAAAGGTGGAAAATGACTCGATAAATCAAGAATTATTTCAAAATAATTTGAATAAAATCAAATATAGACAAACTAAACATTAGTAAAAATATATGTTAAACATTAGTAGCCAAAATAGAATATGTGTTTGATTAATCCACATATCAAACTTATTAAAAAACCATGCATACTAATTAGAACACACATGAAGAAAAAAAAGTGACGGTTAGTAGTATTATATTTACATTCACATGCTAATTAGAATATGCATGTAAAAAAATATATATATTAAAAAGAACCTTAAAAACAACAAACCAAATTATAATACTTACAAAATTTTATGATAGATTTTAAGTAACTAATAAACATGATTAAGATTTTAATAAGTAGTTACTAATTATAATTCTTTTGTCTAATAAGACAGTAAATGCTGAGTTTTTCTTAGCAAACCCGAACCACCTTATACGTGACTTGTACCAGCTAGTAGTGAAAGGAACAATCACCACTGGTCCTGAAGCTTAATGCGTCTGCAAAACTCAAACACCTATGACTCATCCTCCTGGTACATAGAAAATTAGGCAGTATAATATACCAATATGAATCAATCCAACATCAAGTGTAACAATCAATCCCTCAATTACCTTACATTAACATGAGCTTTACAAACATAGAATTAATGAATCAAAATGCAGGCCATGACATGAACACTGCTAAACCTTAAGCAGCATAATTCAGTTTACAACCATATTTTACAAATAGCAGAATATTTTCAGAAAAAGAAATTAGACCAAATCTTAAACAAAATAGAACACATTCAACATCATAAATATCAAAGCAAGTGGAAAGGGAAAGCATGAAGCTTCCATGTCAAAATGTTACCGAAACCGAAACGCCGAATGCCTTGTCATTGGAAGTGATGCTGTGTGCGCCAGATTGACAGTAGCAGTTGTGTAATGTGAACTTTGTCGACGTCATGAACTTCCAGGCTTTATTCAATCTAATGTCGTACGGAGTCGCTTCCGGAGTTGTCGCAACTCGGCAACGTTCACAATGAAGAGAGGTTGATCTCGATTGAGACATGGGTTTTCGCTGCTACAAACTGCTCTGTCAATTGTAGCAGGCTCTGTAACGAGTTCCACCTTGTAATTCGCATCATTTAACTTGCTTGTCGCGGCTGTCAATGACCTATTGTTGCTGCTGAGAAATCGTTCCTATTCTTCCCTTTCACTCTCGTACCATCAGCTGCGGTTGTTGAAGAGCAAATCGTGGCTGTTGTCGCAACTATTGTTGCTCATGCCTGCACGTTCTCGCTGTTGTGAGTTTTATGATCCGGTGTTGCCGTGTTGAAATTGGATGGAACTAATATCGTTAATACCCTCTCAACATTCACTTTTCTTGCTTCGCTACTGTCTTCATAAGTTTGCCAAAGATTAAACCACGTATAACCGAAACTCTTCATAAGTTTATTCAATGTAACGCGGGAATCCACCATCCGCGTCCAAATATCAGAGCTAGCCAGAACAGATATGAAACAAACAGAGGAGTAGTAACACAATCCAGTATATAACTATATCAGTTAATATCTGCTTACAAACCGTATGAACAAAAACTTGAAACAACCGTATTAAAACCATTATAATAGCCACAAACAACAGTAAACACAATATAAAATCGAGATTTGGGAGAGTAGAGATTTAAAGACCAACCAAAACGAGCTCAAATCACCGTTGCATGGTTAGACGCGTCGAAGCTTGGAAAAAATTGCACAACGCGTTTTCGGAGCCAGGAGCTGAGTCACACAATGTTATTCATCTAGTCGTGGTTTAGAAATCAAATCCTCGTCTCAGCGGCATATGGGAACGATGTTGAGAGTGCTCCGTGAATCGTCAATGCTGTCGCCATGAATGATTGCGGGAGCCCTGAGTCTTTCGTTGAATCCACACAGAGGTTATATTATTGTTGAACTTGGTAAACCGCAAGCAGTTTATCGCTGTGTCATCAACGTTGTTTCCGTGGCCATTATTGAACTGTTGCCAATTTGTATCTGGTGTTCGAAACACCGTCGTTGAGTTGTAACTGGTTGGCGCCCGCGGCTGTCGTCACAGAGTCGTGCTGAAAAAAGACAACTACAGCCAATTTCACAGAGATGCGCTATTGAGAACGTTAATGCTAGAAACAAGGTTGAGTTGCAATGGAGGCGTGATGCTTGAGCTTTAAACGTCGGTGTGGCTGCGAATAGAAGTGAATG